CGTGAGAATACTGAATCGTGCCCTTCCAGAAGATATTCGAATTATTGGCTGGTCTCCTATTCGACTTGATTTTAGTGCAAGGTTCTCATACTACTTACTACTCATAATGTTTAACATATAGTTCATTTTCTAAATTTATATTAGCTAAGGATGGTTATCTGAGGGATTCTATAAAACTTTTACTCTTCTGACCTTTATATTTGTTTCTTCAGGTGTTACCTTATTATCTTGCTTTTGTTGATGAATGCAGATTCAGCTGTTTGGGTAGAGAATATAAATATTTTTTTTGGAGAAAGAATATGAATCTCTTGGTGCATTTCTAATTCCTTATGCTTTATTACCTTCCTGGAATCTACGGTTTGGCTGCTTGGTCTTGCTAACTGTTTCTTGTGCCATATTCCATGCCAGGCTATGGGGAGTGCAGGGAAGAAGTTTATTGGAGAACATGATTTCAGAAATTTCTGCAAAATGGATGCTGCAAATGTTCATAACTATAGGCGCTGTGTCACATCATTCGAAATTTCTCCTTATTATAAAAGGTTGGTTTTGGTAAAAATATAACTTTTTTGATCCACTTTTAATCTGTTCCATATGTAAAAAGAAGTAACCTGGCCTTTATCTTTAGTTTCTTGTACTAGCTTCTTTGAGAAATTATTTATTTATTTATTTTTTATCTAGTGCTATGCCTGATCGGATTCTGGTCATAGGTTTGTGGGCATCATGAAGGACTTTGAGTTTCTTATTGCTATATAGATCTCTGTGGGCTGTCATATATCTGTATAGCATTTTGTTCTTTTGTTCCTAAAAGTGTAGATTTGTCTACTGAAGGTGACACTTTCAATAGTGATAGGACCTATGTGATTGTGACCGGGGATGTGACATGCAATAGGCAATCAGCAAAGAGAAGAAAAGAACAGGGTTCAGGATGTACCATATATAGATGATAGACCATGAAACTTCTTTTGCTTAATCTGTTGAAAATCCCTTTCAGGATGTTTTTGGTTTCTTAGGGGTAAGTTTGTGCAGAAGTCTATTTATCATAATACATTGTATTTTCCTCATGCTTCTAAATCCTCTGCATTTGCTTCGATATCTTTCTTCTCAACACTGGGCATCATTGGTCGCAGGAGATTTTTGGTGCGTTGTTCTTTCATCATTTGTAGAAAATGATGCCTCCTGAGGTTGATAATTTCTGATTTTTTTGCAGTTACAATGGTAGTGAACTTTGTGCAATTAAAATAAATGGCAGTGCTTTCCTCTGGCACCAAGTTAGGTGCATGGTTGCTGTGTTGTTCATGATTGGCCAAGGTCTTGAATCTGTTGATGTATGTATTCAAATGCCTCTATCTAAGTCGTTTTTATACGTAATATATCAGTTATATGTTGCAACAAGGGACAGCTGCAGATAGATATGAGAAGATAAAACTGTGATATCCTTGCCTCATTTTTTATAGATTATTTCTGAGCTCAGGGCTGATATTCATCACTTATATATCATCTGAAGTGATGGAATATGTTTACATATGCATTCAAGGGACAAGAACTAATCTGTGATTAGCATGAAGCTTTCAGATACTATATCTTTGATCAACATGCCCAGCATACCTAACTGTTAAGTGTTATTTTGGATAAACAAGCAAACCATTTTTCTGATGAATACTCCAAATCAGCTAGAAGTTTCTTATTGAAGAACGGAGATGGTTGAAATTGAAATTGACTGAATCTTATAGTCAAAAGTTCCCAGCTACAAATTTCCTTATTCTATTCAGAAATTGAAGTTGGTCGGTTTCATCTATAGGTGATAGATACATTATTAGACACCAAGAAGACACCAAGGAAACCTCAGTACACCATGGCCCCCGAGATTCCTTTGATCCTCCAATCCTGTGAATTTGAAGGTCTTAAGTTCACGTGCTCATCAGGTATTTGAATCTTCTCAAAGCATAGTCTGAACTTGTTGTTTTCTTATATGTCTACGATCTTGAGATTGATAAGTTCAGAATTTGTATCTGATACTAATGATTCATTAATCGTACGTTTAATTCATTGAATGGAATAAAGCTAAAATGTTATTGTTATTCATCATGAATAAGTAGTAGTTCATTATAGTACAGTTCCATTAGCATTTTGTAGGTTATAAGTAGTTCATTGTAACTTCATCAAAATATTTATTAATGGTTAATCATACCAAAAATACCTTTATACTCAATTTTGAAAAATTAAAAAATACCTCAATTAATTAAAAAAATTCAAAATACCAAAACACATCATAATTATAAATCTATAAAAATATTTAGATTTAAAAATTTTTAAAAATTGATAAATTAATTGAAATTCACATTGCTGAGTATGGATAAAATGGTGTTAAGAGTAACTTCGTGATTAGGCTAGATTGTAATATTCTTTCATGACACCTTACACTTGAATTAGTGTTCCAACTTTCTTCAGTAGCAGTAATTAAAAGTAATTATGATTAAACTAATCAAACAATTGCAATAATGGTTGTTGCATGATAGGCATTACATTCCTGAGATATTCCTAGGTTGTATAATGAAACAAACTGCCATAAGTAATGCACTTAAGAGTCTGCAAGCTGCCATACCTTTCCTCATCAGATGCTTTTCAGCAATCATGTTAACTAGAAATCTTTAGCGAGCTTAGATGTTTTATTATTTTTATGCAAAGATGCTGGGCAAGCACTGCGCTCACACCTGGAGAATGAATGGCAGACTTACCAACTCCAATCTTCAATCTATCATGATGCTCTTTTGAGTTGTTTGCCTCTGACTGACAGTACAGGTATAGACTGAATGATTTTCTTCTTGGCTTCCCCGCTCCCTCCCTCCCTCCCTCCCTCCCTCCTAACAATTTCGCTCTGTATTATTTTTCATTAAACTTAACACGGTTTCGTACCTTTCTATGTTGATCTGATCTGTGTTCCTGAAAACAGTTTTGGTTCCTTCAGATAAGAGCTCGAGGAATGATAGAACAGTTAGTAAGAAGACTTCCCATGTGTCTCTCTTGTTGCGGCCAACTGAGCGTAAGTGCTGCTATACTGTTAAATACAACTAGAATTTGACACTCAAGCTGCCGTAAAGATGAACTTTTCTTAGTACATAAAAAAGCTGTCTGAATTCCCAATTACATGGCTAGTAGATTTCTGAAATATGTTTTGAGTTATTAATGTGTTTTAAGTACGATGTTCCTCAATCTTTCTAGCAGACATAGTTTGTCTTTTAAGTCTGTAATTCTTCTTGCCCACTGTGTGAAGTTTCTGCTTGTTGGTCCATTTTCAGCTTCGTATGAAGAACGGCGAGCCAAGCTAGGCACCAAATGATTGAGGTGAAGGGTTTGTTGGCATATGTAGAATTCAAAGCATCATACTTATGACTGAGGTGAAGATGAAGAAAGTGAGGATGGTGAGGGTAGAGAGAGAGAGAGAGAAGTAAGAGAAAGAAGCACACCCAGAGGAGGAGAGACACGAAGGAAGACACCAACGCATAAAAGGAGAGAGCATTTGTCAAATTTTCAATTTAGACTTATTTAAATTATACTACGTGTTAATTTAAATATTTTAAAAAATATGTGAATTAATTTAATTTAAAATTAAGGCAATAATTAGAATACATATATATATATATATATGTATAGCTGATATTCAACAGGAATAAAAGGGTACTTGACAAATTTTTGGTTGGCCATGGGGTGGCGTGGCTTGAAATCAAATCCTCCCCTACCAACCCGCAGACAGATGAAAAGTAGAACCAAAAAGGGACCCCAAAACAACTCAAAAGTTGTCCCAAAGATTTTACCCCGTCATCATCATCCTCCACCACTCCCATAAATTCAAATTTATAAGTTTTCTTAAGTTTACGTTACAAAATTATATCATATTCATGTACATATAAAATACTTTTAAGAAGTAAATTCGAAATTTATATTAGATAAATCTCAATAAACATACTATATTAAAATTTTGATTATCTATTTTATTAAAAAAAAAAAAAACAAAACATAATTTCAAAGTCTATATTTTATTAGGGTAAATATAATTTTATTTTTTTTTTACTAAATTATGGTTTTAATTATTTAAATTCAAATTACGTATTTTTTTAATTATACTTTGTTATATCGTATTTGTTCATTTAACATTTTCTTTAATATCATCAATTTTGTGAACACTTCCTCAAAAGATTAATTATAATAATAACTATTTATATAAAAGATCTCTAACTTTGAAGTACTAAATTATTATAAAAATTAAAAATTTTGTTTAAATAAATTTAAATTAAAAATTTTAATAATAAGGTTCAAAATTTATTATTTTAATTAAACTCAAATTTTAAATAATAAGTATTTTTTATTATAAAAAAATTTAAATAAATTATAGGATTAAAAAAATAAAAAGGGAGTTCCCGCGAGGGAAACTCGGACCAAACAACGCGCCTCTTTATATATATATATATATTATTTTCTTCGTTGTCGAAATCAAACAAACAAACCCAACCGATTCTCATCTTTCTCTCTCTCTCTCTCTCTCTCTCTCTCTCTCTTTTTATTTTCCCTCTTTCTTTTCCTTCTCTGAACAAGGGAGAAAAGATATGGAGGCAGCCATGGGATTGATGAGAAGAATGCCACCAAAGCACTCCGAGACTACACTCTCCGCTCTCCTCTCTCTCTTGCCTCACCACTCCTCCGATCTCCTCTCTCAAGTCGATCAACCTCTTCAGGTCCTCTCTCTCTCTCACCGATAGATCTTCATTCGTGCTTTTACTTATTATGTATTGTTTATTGACTTTGCATTCGATTCTCGTTCTTTCTTTCTTTTTCGTGGATTTGTTTTTTGGAATGTTGATTTTGAGGATTAAATGTTGTTTGAGTTTATGTTTCTTGGCGTTTGGAGCTAAAATTTGGAAGGAACAAGGCGGTGATAGGAAGCCTAGGCTTCCTGATATACAACCTAAAGTTTATAGAATAAAAACTTCCCGAAATTTCATCAATAGTGTAGTGCTCGCAGTTGTCTTCTACTTGCGCATAGTCGATTCACTTTTTTTTTTAAGGCGGATGCTCAATTCACTTTAGTTGGCTTTGTTTGGTGTATTTTGCATATGTAGATATCTGTGTTTCTAGGCATCTCCAAGTATTCTGACCTTGAGGACCGCCATTAATTTTCTTCATTTTCAATTTAAGTTCATGAGTTTGGCTAGGGGATTGTTCCTTCACAAATAATTTTCCAGATTTATTGATATGGTCCTTCATCAATTTATCGAGGCTATCGTCAGCTATTTACGTGCTGTAAAGAGGAGTAATATCACAGTTATTCATTGTGAATCTTATCATTTGATTGCGATATGTAATACAAGTCAAGTATAGATGAAATATTGGTATGGATGAGTCCGAATTTTGTGGCTATTGTTCTAAGTTAGAAACTCTTCCTGCTAAAACAGATTTTATATGATGTGGACTATGGGAAGGAATTTATTTTGTGCGAGTACAACAGAGATGCTGACTCTTACAGGTATCTGCTTGACTATATGTACTTTTAAGCTGTTTGTTACGAATGAAGTATATCCTGGTGGTTTCATACAGTCAGAAGATCTGTTTGAGGCTTTTGGGTCCTAGGTTTTGGCATTTTTGTTTCACAATTGACTTTCACTTACATATTAAATGGAGTTCCTTGGAAATCCGAAAAAATAGACATTAGATTTCTGTTTATAACTTTTTCTTCATTACCCCTCTACCAGTCTATATAGCATGCACATACACTCACAGATTTGACACTTGGTCTGAACCTTTCAGTATGGCCATGCTGCTTTTTTTCCAGTTAAGGAAACGGATCTTGACCTCAAGAAACGCATAAAGCATGAAATAAATATGGGATATGCTATTATTTATATATAATCTGCTGGACTAAGAGCTAATTGATTTTTTCACCCTTTGATCTTTATGCATTTGATAATGTTTTTCACTTATGTAAACCTAGCCCTTGAGATTTGGAGTTATTTCAAAGCTATTCTTATCTTTTTTCTTTTAGCTCTATTAAGCAAGCATACAACTGAAGTCTTTACCTCTTTTGTGTCAACTATGCCACCTCCCATTTTCTCATTTCTGCCTTACGACCATAGCTACTGTTAACTATATCTTTGATGAACCTTGACTTAGATCCATCTTAATATTATATGTTTCTTTGGATGTGATATTCAATATTTAACTTATGCAGACCTTGGCCTTGAGATTTTGCAGTTTTCCAAAGCCAGTCATATTTCTCCTGCTCTATTCAATCAATGAAATCTGTTCCTCAAGCCCATATGTGAATGATACAGTCTCCCATTTTCCCATTTCTGCCCTATGGACACACCGGCCATTAATACATAATCAATAAACACTTAACTTTCTATTCAAATCCACGTCATTGTTAATCTTTTTCATGAAACATATAATGTTTTTGCAGGTCACCCTGGTCAAATAAGTACCTTCCACCATTGGAAGATGCACCTTATCCTTCTTCAGAGTTAAGAAAGCTTGAAATTGAAGCTAATGAGATCTTTGCAATCTACCGTGACCAGTGAGGTTCTTTACTTACCTCGTCCTTGAGTTTCTTCTTTAATCTAATATTTTTGGAGAAACAATCAAATATTTTTTAAAGGCAACAATAATGATTTAGTTCCTGTACTATTTAATTTTATTCAGATTAGTTCATGCTTCTATTTTAACTCCAGATTAGTCCTTGTATTATTGAAAAAGTTTTCAATTTAGTTCCTCCCTATTACTAACTGTTAACACTGTTAGCTTAGGTGTCACATACCAAATTTATTGACGTGTAACACCTTTTGATTAGTTCGGTTGTAAGTTGAATGTTATGCACAGATGCCACATGACATTTAAAAAATTTATATATGGGTTGATTCAGACCAGTTCACAAATTAAAAACAAAAAAAATCCATTAAAATTCCTAAATCTTAACTTTTCAAAATCCCCAAAACACCCTTCTTCTTCTTCTTCTTCCTCCTCCTCCTCCTCTCCTCCTCCTCTCCTCCCAGCATTCTTCTTCTTCTTCATCATCATTGTCTTCAACATAATTTGAGCCATTCAAACTCATTTGAGAGAGGACTTCCTTACTTTTTGAACCTTAATTTTTTCCCTGGATAATAGATTGACAAAAAGATCAACCATATATTAAGCCCATTAGATCTGTCTTTGTTTTACGAGCCCCAGAAAATTTTTTCCCAAATATTCCTGCTCACCATCCTCGTCATCGTCATTGGCGCGTTCATCATGATAATTGGTGTATGGTCCTCATCTTCCTCCACAATCTTGCTTTTCCCTTTATGTTTATTTGGATCTCGAGAAGAACCAATTAAACCAGAGGCCATTTTGGTGAGACCCAGAGCCTCCATTCGTGCTCTCTTTAAAGCCTTTGTTTCTCATACTCTCTCATCCCCTGCTATGGTTGTTCTTGCCCTTTGAAATGATTTTTGTGCCTTTCGTCTTCATCTGAGCTTGATCTTTCATGGGCTTCCCTTTCTTCAGATTCTATCTTGTCATTATGGTTCCTGTGAACTGTGGAGATTGGGAGGCTTGAAATGGGCAACATAAATGGGAGGGAGGATGGAAGGAGGAAGAAGAAGAAGGCTCTGTTTGGGGATTTAGGCAAATTAGGGTTTAGGAATTTTTTTTATACTTCTTTAATGTGTGAACTGATTTGAGTTGATCCACATTAATTTTTTTTTGTACCACGTCATATACCATATGAGATTTGATGTATCATTAACTTACACATTTACGAATGAGAATGTGTCACGTGTCATTATATTGGACACCTAGCACCAACCTTAATATTGTTAACAGTGAAAGAAATGAAATGAGTAAATTGAAATTTTTTAAAAAATAAAGGGACCAATTTGACCAAGAATTGTGGCAGAGTTTATTTGAATAAAAATAAACAGTATAGGAACCAGATCATTACTTTTACTATATTTTAAGTCCATAATTGAAGATTCTCTTTTTGATATCCTTTCCCCTTAATTTGTTAGCATGTATATATGAATGCAAATGTTAATCCTTTAGATATCCATCACAATTTCTTTGTGTAACTAGTAATTATTTTTCTGTGTGCCATACATGATGCATCTAATCTTAAAGCCGGTACCTTCTGCAACAAGAAAGTTTTGTTATATCTCTAGCATCACCTTTGGTTCAACTCTATTATGTTTTTATTCGATTCTTAAACTTTGATTATTTGATATATAAAAGTTAATCATAAGTTACATATTCAATGTATGACTGAATCAACTCTATTCATTCAATTCCACAACCATGTATTTGTAACATGTTGAAGGAAAAATCACTGAGACACTTAACGCAAGTTGAATGTAGAATTGATTTGGACTTGAAATATTTTTTTTTCGAACTTTTATTGCATTTATATTTTCTCTTATTTTTAGTTTCGTGGAATTGAAATTTAAACCAAACTCAACCAAACAATTTTGTTTTTGTTGAATCACACTTGAAGAATGAGGTAGTGTTTCCAAACCTTACAGAGATTTTGACCAGAGGATGTGAACAGAGATCCAATAATGTTTTAAATGACCAATCGATTGGCAGGTATTATGAGGGTGGCATTTCTTCAGTTTACATGTGGGAAGATGATAATGAAGGTTTTGTAGCCTGCTTTTTGATTAAGAAAGGTATATTTTATTTAAGCTAAACCCTGAAACAGTAAGTTTTGGTTCTCTGTCTGATTTGAGTCGCTATACTATTGGTGGAACAAAGATGGGTCAAAGACAGGACAGGGTCGAAGGGGTTATTTGGAGGAGGGAGCATGGGATGCTATACATGTTATACAGGTGATTCCACGTGCCCCATTCCCCTTTACAGCCCTCTGCATTACTATTTCTTTCTTGATTGTATGTTCTAACTTTTCAGTTTAGTCATTCTGTGTTACAACTTTATTTTTTCGTTCTTATTTAGGTCGGGCCAGAAGAGGAAGGAATGGCACATTATTGCTTGACCAGTACAGTCATGCTCTCTTTGACTACAGATGATGAGTCATCTGGCACTTTCAATTTGTCTGGATCAATTAGAAGACAGGTATTGCATGCCTATGAAATCTTGAACATATTTTGTCTGTGATTAAATGATGAAACATTTTCCTAGAAAGTTCTCAAGACCATAAATTATAGTGAAGTTAAGTCTCCCATGGAAAAAGTTATAAGCTGACCGATACTCCAACTGCCCCAAAAATTTCTCTGGTGCCATGTTTTTGCATCCATTTCTCAATGGCTGTCCCTTTCTGCTCAAATGAGTGTCAAGCCTATTATATTCTCTCTAAATGCACAGCATCTAATAGTAAGAAACTTCACTTTAGTGATATGTTTGCTTTATGGAAATAACTCTTTTCAGTAATTGAATGTTTTGAATGTACAATATATTTGCAGCCTTGGATTTGTAGGGTTCATTTGCCTCCATATATTCCACCATTAATGCACCATGACACCTATATACTCGGACCACTTTGTGTCGCATTTTAAGGAAACAGCTTTTTTTCTATCACAAAGTTACAAGTAATAGTATGAATATGGCTTATATCAGCCTGTTTCTGTGTGTTACTATTTGTCTTCTTAATGGAAGTACTTTCCTTTATTCTAATGTCATTAACAAAACATGCCAGAGAGGGAGAAAAGATTTTTAAATTTTCTAACAACGCTTCAATATATTTTCTTGAAACCTCTCTCTCCTCCTCTTGGATGGCACTTTTATAATAGCATACAATGTTGGAAGGAGAATTTAAACTATGTGCAAGGTGAGAGACGCACCTATTCTTGTGAATTATAAGTACAATTTTTCTGAGTTAACGTGTCACCATTTTCGTCACTTTCCTTTTATTTCCCTGTACCTTTAGAGAATTGTATAAACTAAATGCCAATTGATCAAGACCTTTGTTTACACCTTTCTGTTGGCAAAACTGGTGTTAGATCTAGCAGAGCAGTCTAGTTTGAACCTAGAGGAAAAACTGATGAGTTAGCTTACTAAATATTATTTTCTTCCCAGCACATTTATCTGCATAGAACATGTTTTAGAGTTTGGCTTTAGTTTAATGCAATTTTTCTTTCCTTTTTTAATACAGATGAATATGGACCTTGCAGTTGCGGAGGGTCATCTTTGTAACATGGGAAGGATGATTGAAGAAATGGAGGGCAAGCTTAGGAACTCTCTGGATCAGGTACAAATCTTTTTTTGTCTTCAATTGCCAGCTTGGTATTTTTCTTTCTGGTCCAGAAGTACTAGTACTCAGTTACTTTAATGTCAAAACTAAAGTTACATGGTCTGTGAATTTTCTAATCTTCAAATACTTGTAAAAGTTACATCAGAAATTACTGGATATCAACATTTTGCAGGTTTATTTTGGAAAGACTAAAGAGATGGTTTGCACCTTACGTCCACCATCAGAGGTAGTGCAGATGAGATTACCAGATAGCTGAGAAAAGTTATAGAATTGGTTTGAAAATGGTCATCATTCGTTTATATCTGGAGTTGGGATTATGTATGTGATTTGTACATGTCGTGGATGTTTAATGTGCTTCTTTAGCATTAGAAAACCTATCAGATAGAAAGAGTCTTTTTGTCCTCCTTTATAAAGATTTGAGTACACTTATGATTGAAAACTGGAAGTCATAACATGGTTGAACTCTTTTTTCCTAACAACTTATTGTAATTCTGTTTCATTGCACTTTCTTTTCAATGTTGGATTGTTTTCTGCAAATTCCCCTTTGGGATTAAATGTTGCCAATCACTGGACTAAGTTTTTCGTACAGTGCGTTGTTTATGAGAGAATTATTTTGTATTATTATGTATTCAGAGAGACATGGTGCTCGGTTTCTATCAATGCTTGATAAAAATTAAGCACTAAATTTATGTCTAAGGTAGATATCGAATAAAATTACATTTTAATCAACTAAATTAATCAACAACATAAAATTTTACATATTCATCACCTAATTGCTATATAAGCATATGATGACATGTAATCTAAATAAAATTTAAAGTTTAGACCGTTTTTAAAAAGAGAGAAACGCTTCTCTCTCACCTCGTCTAGGAGCTTCCTCTCTCTCTCTCTCTCTCTCTCTTGAGGAAGACAAGAGTCCACCATCCGTTCATCCGCCACCTCCCTTGCCAAACAAGCCTAAGCCCCAAGCCAATAAAAATATGTCCCTCGATCTCCTCTACAGCACCGGTCACATCCAGAAGACTCCCTTCCTCGTAACTCATTAAGGCAAGCACGGAGCAGTCAGAAGACACATACCCAGGCTTGTGAGTCTTTTCAGCCTTGCCGTTGTGAACTGGCGTGGAGTGGCTAGGAGGGTGTGAATCACACCGGCATCGTGCAGATTTCTAGAGATTATTTTTCAGTTCTGTACATACTTAGGGCCACCCGGAAACAGCAATAATAACATAATAATGCCTTAAATATTCATGTTCAGAGCTTAAATGTCATATACTAAGACCCTCATTAAAATTTTATTCAAAGTTTCTACACCTAATTTATTTTCATTTTTTAGTTATATATAAACATCCGTAAATTTAGAAAGGTAAAACAATTTTTACAATTAAACAGGACCTAATCATTCAAAATTGTTCAAACCCAAAGACCTGTTATTAACATGTTGCTACTTCAGCTTCATCATCTCAACTTAAGGAAACATAGATTCCCTTGAGGAAAAAAAAAGAGCACTATATTACACACCCGAGATTGCGTTCCGATGAAAAAGCATCCCACTGATCTAATAAGCAACCCATGTATAATCTAGCTCCAATATATATAGTTATATATATATATAAAACTCAAAAACTCATAGAAAACCAAGGTGCAAACTGCAGGAGATCATTTTTTTTTCCTGAGAAAACAAAGAACAAGGCCCACTAATAAAGCATTCTGTAATCTGTGGAATGTCAAACCCTACAATCAGTGAGGAAACGGTTGCTGCTCTTTAGAGTTGAATGCATCTTCTGTTGGGGCCTCAATCATGTTTCACATCATGTTCACCACTAGATGCAGGTGCTTCTTCGACTTTTTCTGCAGGTTTAGCTTCTTCGTCCTCTTCTTCTGTGTCACTGTCATAATTATCTGCAAGCAGATTGATCACGTTATATATTAGAACATCAAAAAATACAAGCATACACACAATTACAGATTGCTGTAATACAAGAAACATACCATCTCCTTCGCCATCAGCACCACCCATGTTCAGATTCTGTAACATAAAAACAAGAGAGTGGTATTTGGACCATGAAATCAAAGATGTACTATGTAAAGAAGATCTATTTCAAGATGGTTTCACTTACTGAGAAGTCAAAGTCACCAAAGTCCATATCAGGTCCAGCTGTAAATACAATTCCAGATGAATAAAGCTAATTAACCAAAAAGAATCCACTGAACTAGGAAACCTAACAAAAGGAAAAACGCTGAAGAAAGATAAAAGAGGTAAGATTTATACCTTTGGTTGTTTCATTCTCTCATCTCATCAATCCATTTATCCCAATCAACTTTTAAGAACACAGGAGGCTTCCCTTCTTGTTTTAGTAACTTACACCACCATTTTTTTTCCGCCTTCTTAACAAGGTAGCAGATATTTCTCAAGCCAATGCTAGCCTTGCTATCCTGTAGATGCCACAATAGCCGTTTACCTTTAAATGAAAATTATGAAAATTGATGAATGGATTAGATAATACCATTCTGATTGATACCTACATTAACATCAACACTGTCATACAAATGAAAGTCAATCTCATAAGGTATTTTATCTGCTCCACTAGAGGCGGAAAAGAAGAATTTTCCATCAGGCTCCAGTTTAAGCTTCACATCCTGGGCATCTGGCAATTCAATAGTTATGAATACCCTGTCAGACCTCTGGGCCCATTTTACAGAAGGATGTCGGCTGCAAGTGAACATTAGAAATTCATATTAGAATCAACCACCTTACAATGCTGAAAAACAAACAGATGTCTAATAAACAACATAGAATCAGCATTTGAGCCACTCAAACCAGGCATACTGATTGTCTAAGATCGTTATCCAAAAAGAAAAGGAAACCATTTAGCAGAACTACGTGGCCTTCAATTTCATCCAATATAGGCTTTCAAATGGAACTTGGAAGTTAATTGTGTATCCCTAAGGTTCTATTTTTGCTCTTTTAGATTTGCTATACTACTTTACCATTATGATAAAGATGTCACAAATACTGAGGCAGGTCTAAATAATAAGATGGGTGGGACCAATCACCAAATTAAACAAGGCTGGTGCACAAATAAAATTTTTTTAGTAAATATCAAGAAAGCATACCAAGAAAGGCAAGGCAAGAAAAGCTGACGTATATGAGGGCTTCAGTAAAAGCTTATTGCAATACTGATGAATTCATAGTGCAATAATTCATGGTTCAATAATGAGAGGCAACAAGATAAAAGCTTCTTTTTTCTCCTAAAGGTGCATTGAGGATAACCTGAATTATTTACTCATCCACTTATACGAGAAGACACATGGAGAAACATGGTGGGACTAAGCTTGGCCCAACGACCAGGTAACACTTCCCTCTACTAAGCAGGAGCATATTCAAGTCTCTATATAGGCTTCTACTTCTTCGAAAAAATAAAAAATCCAGATATGCAAAAGCAAGAGACTCATATTTGATCTTCCATAACATACCCTAGCAACGATTAAATTTTTATTTTGGCAGTCTCCAAAATAATGTCTGGAACAATTACACTCTGCACCCAATTGCCCCCTGTCTAGTATAAATCTTTTCAAGCTTCTCAATCTACAATTATATTTTTTAAGCAAATAAAACTAGGATAACTATATCATACTAGTTCAAACTAAATCTCGGCCTACTCTGGGAAACTAATTCATAGTTGGATGAGTAACTCAATGAGCAAAAACAAAAAAGTGCTAAAGAATGTTTACGTAAGTATTCTCTAATACCAACATTGTAATGACAGGCTTTGCCACAACTATTCAATTATTCTTGTTTTTTATGCATTAGGAAAGAGAGGCATTGTATATGCATACAACAATTCACGTTAACATACACAGCCAATCTCTAATAGGGGTCGTTACAAGGATAGACCGAGTTAGACGGACGATGAAACACATCGTCCTTAAAAAAAAGCAAGAAGAAACGAAAAAAGGTATGTAAAATTAGCAATGAACAAACTCAAAAGCTAACAAACTTTCTTCTGATCATTATAACTCTTTCATTCATCAGATAGTTTGGAAGTTCGTGAAGATACTCAAGTACACCACCATCACGATCGAGCTAGCCTTCATTTCAGAAAAAAGAAAACTACAGCAACCAAAAAGACCTAGGAAAATCTCTTTCAATGTATTTCAATTCCACACAAAACAATAAGAAAAAAAAAGAACAACTCAAGAGGACGACCAGACTAATCTAGCTCATAGTCAATAACGGAGTCTGCTAATTAAAAATATACCGTAAAAAAGGAGGACCTCAAACCCTAAGCTTTCATCAGTCTCCTCAAAACTAAAATACAGCAGAAAACAAATGAACAAGGGAAAAAAAACAGAAAAAATAGACAAACGAGAAGCGACACCGCAACAAGTCCAACACGACTATTCGGTACCTTATCAGAGCCTAAAAGAGCATCATTTCCCTCAATCGAGACACAAAAAAAAAAAAAAAAAAGAATTCTCATCTTTTCGCTTTATTTTCCTCCACTTTCTCGGCAAACAAACAAGCTTTTGACACGAGATTGAAACTAGTTTAAAATAAAATTAAGAACACGGAAATGTCGAGAAAAACATAGAAGACAATGATACCTCATGGTTGCTAATCTCGATTAAGCTAACAGAGAACTCTTTGTTACCCACGCTCGAAGGATTGTAACAGGGTTTAAATAGCGAACCAAACACTTCTCAACTGCAAAATGCGTATATTTGGGGGGTAAAAGATGCGCTCTAGATGCTTCCATGTCATTCTAGGCGCCCTCAGGATAATTTCGGGATTTTTATTTGTTAAGATTTTAATTAATATAATTTCAAAATGATCTTATCTGTCTGTGTTGCTAACTGATCAATCTTACGTGACGTAATTTTGTTTAATTATATTTTGATTTTTAATTTTTGATTTTTTTTTTTCAAATAACTTAAATTTTTATTTTTAAAAAAATTATTTTTAATTTATTTTTTTTAATTTTACATTAAATAAAAATTTATTAATTTTAAAATTATATTTTTATACATTTTTAAAAAAATTTAAAATTAATTCTAAAATAAATTTTTTATCCAAATATTACATATATATATATATACTTAATATCTACAATAAAAATAAATAAATAATTTAGCATTTATAATATATATGATTTTAGAACTTGTAGTTAATTTTTTTTAGTATATTCAGTGAAATAATACAAATAATAATTATAATAATAATAATATAAAAAATAAACATATTTATTTTTATAATTTCTTAATTTTAAATAAATAATAATGAATTCTTATGAATAAATAAATTTATTTTAAAAAATAATAAAATTATTTCTGAAGTTAGTTCACCCTCGTAAGGTCATGACCCTTTCTTCCGGCTATTGTAGCACTTGTGTCATTCAGGGTATAAGAGGCATAATGACTCGATGTCATTCTCACCTTCCTCGAGCTTATCATCGGTAGCACGTTTAAGGTTCTAAATTCAACGATGGCAACTAAACACGAGGGTTGCACTCGTTACAGAACTTAACCCAACACCTTACGATACGAGCTGACAACAATTATGTATTATTTGTGTCCGCATTTCTGAATACACCATTCTCTTTTATAAGGATTCGCGGCATGTCAAGCCATTCTTCGCTTTACATCGAATTAAACTGCATGCGAAAAAAATTGATTGAATATAAATTATAATTTTATTTCATTTTTAACAAATTAACTATTAATTCATAATAAATCAATAATCAGTAAATTTAAATTTATATTAAATTAATTCAATATTTAATTTACTAATTTTAGTTTCGTAAAATGTGTGTCAAACAAAATTTAGAGGGCCTTCAAAATGAGTTTCAGCAGCCCACTTAGCTGCCGCGTGGCCCACAACAACATGGTGAGAAGTCTAGCTCGTATTATCCACTATTCAATTAAAATTATTTATTATTTAAAATATTATAATAATTTAACTAAACTCATTATATTAATGATATTTTCATTCATTTAAATCATTATATATACTTTCAAATATATTTTATACATTTAAGATGTATACTCTAAATTTTACTAATCAATTTTTTTGCGTTTGTAATAAATTATGATAAATTAATGGTACAAATTTTTTTGTATCTTTTATTTTTATAAAGTCATACGTATCATCATATAATAATAATTATTTTTAATATAATTTACAAAATTACTTCATTATGTTCGCAACCACTATATTACATATAATAATTTGAGTTTCTACTTCTAAAAATAAAGTATAGTATTGACCCATACATAAAATGCATTGGTAGAGTCTATTAACCAAAAGTCTCTCTCTCTCTCTCATTTTAAAAAACCCTCGTGCTAGTGAAAATAATTAAGTTCTATACATGTTAAATATCATGTTATTATATCATTATGGTTGTATTTTAAATTCGGACTTAGATTAAACAATACTGAAATAGAGCTCCTGTAGGATTTTTTGAAAATAATTTAGACCATACAAGATAGAGATACTTTTTATAAAAAATAATGAGATAAAATACTTGTGTTTGCTTTAACCGTGATCAATCTAGCATGAAAATTGACAGACTTAATTAAATATATAAAATTGGTATATTTATAATATCATATATATGGTTAGCGCATTTGACATAGTTAGAAGTTCTAATTTTGTATTAAGTTCATAATCAATATCGTTACTATCATCAATATTGTTATTATAATTAATATCGTAATTAGTATCAATAGTATTATTATCATCAATATATATAAATAGATACATAAAAAATTGAATTTTTAGTCACAAAAGTAAAATTTATGATTGTTTTGTATTTGAATTTCAAATCATACTCCGTTTTACATTGAATTATGCGGAGATTTAACAAAAGATAGAAAGGAACATCGCATTTTTGTTAAACTATGAGGAAAAAATATATATATGTATATATATAGATACATAGATTTATGGATCTATACATCTTGATAGGAGTCAATTTACTCTATAAAACTTGAAAACCACGTTAGTCATTCTTATTTATCAGTGAATTTTAAATGAATTAAGTTTATTAGAAACAAAATGAGAGATCGCTAGAATTTTACTGTGCAGATATGGCTGTATAACGTTAAATATTATTTTAAGCTTGTTTATATGTTGAAGGGATCATGCAGGCTTCTAGAAATCCGAGTGCCATAATTTAGATTCATCCATTGCGGTTCCAGCCCCAATGGAATGGCCTCCATTGAAGCACTGGCACAGAGATGCAACACCTTCTTCCACATTAAGCAGCTTCAAGCCCATCTCCTTACATCTGGTCACTTCCAGTTCTCCACTTCCCGCTCCAGGCTCATGGAGCTCTGTGCCATATCTCCCGCCGGCGACCTCTCCTTCGCCCACCTCGTCTTCCGCCAAATCCATCACCCTTCCACCAACGACTGGAACGCCATCCTCCGCGGTCTCGCCGTGAGTCCTCATCCCTACGACGCCGTTTCATGGTACCGCACCATGCTGCGAAGGTCCCGCAGAGTCGACGCGCTCACTAGCTCGTTCACCCTCAAAGCCTGCGCTCGTTTTCTGGGTTTCTCCGAGGCCACCCAAATGCATTCCCAGATCGTGCGCTGGGGTTTCGCAGGTGACGCTTTGTTGGGAACCACGTTGTTGGACGTGTACGCTAAAGTTGGCGATATCGGCAGTGCTAAGAAGGTGTTCGACGATATGTCCGTTAGAGATATAGCTTCATGGAATGCGTTGATCTCCGGGTTTGCTCAAGGTTGCAATGCAAGTGAAGCTTTGGAGCTGTTTAAGAGAATGGAGAGTGAAGGGTTCAGTCCTAATGAGGTCACCGTTCTCGGTGCTCTAGCGGCATGTTCGCATATGGGGGCTTTCAAAGAAGGAGAAAAAATTTACGAGTATATAACAGACAAGAAGTTGGATTTGAACGTAATAGTTTGCAATGCAGTAATTGATATGTACTGTAAATGCGGACTTGTTGGTAAGGCGTGTCGGGTGTTTGATAGCATGAGTTGCGGGAAGAGTCTTGTTACCTGGAATACGATGGTAATGGGGTTTGCTATGCATGGTGATGGAGATAAGGCGCTCCAGCTTTTTGAGCAAATGGGTCTAAATGGCGTACACCCAGATGCTATATCTTACCTTGCTGCCTTATGCGCTTGTAACCATGCTGGCTTGGTGGACCATGGCGTTAGGTTGTTTAATTCCATGGCAAGTCATGGAGTGAAGCCTAACATGAAGCACTATGGGAGTGTGGTTGATTTGCTAGGCCGAGCAGGGCGGCTCAAGGAGGCATATGATATAATAACTTCAATGCCTATGATGCCTGACGTGGTGCTTTGGCAAAGTTTGCTTTTCTCTTGCCAGATTTACGCCAACATTGAATTGGCTGAAACTGCTATGCGAAAGCTAGTCGAGATGGGATCAAACAACTGTGGAGATTTTGTGTTGTTGTCGAATGTCTATGCTGCACACGAGAGGTGGAATGATGTGAGGAGGGTGAGGGATGCCATGAAGAAAAGGGATGTGAGGAAGGTGCCTGGATTTAGCTACATTGAAGTGGAAGGTGTCATACACAAGTTTTTTACTGGTGATAAGAGCCATGACAATTGGAGAGAGATTTATGGGAAGCTGGATGAGATTAGGTTCAAGATTAAGGAGTTGGGATATGTGGCCGAGACCAATTTTGTGTTGCATGACATAGGGGAGGAGGAGAAAGAGAATGTATTGTGTTATCACAGTGAGAAATTGGCTGTTGCTTTTGGACTGATTAGTACAAGAGAAGGGACTCCAATGCAAGTATTTAAGAACCTGAGAATATGTGGAGATTGTCATATTGTATTTAAGCTTGTATCAAAGATATATAGCAGAGAAATTTTGGTGAGGGATCGAGTTCGGTTTCATAGATTTAAAGAAGGTTCTTGCTCATGTAGAGATTATTGGTGAAATTCATTTGCTCATGTCCTTTCAATAATTGCTTGGGAGAAAAATCCATCTTATGGGAGAAAAAGGAGGATTTCTCAATGGTAAGAATATCTTCGGATCAACTTTTAAACATTGAAATAAAGTGAATCAAAGTCTCTTACTCAAATAGCATAAAGATATTTGCATAATCAGACCATGTTATGTTCTGTTCAGTCCTGGAGGTCCTACATTATATATAATATATTTGTGCTTCATATTGATATTGTCCCGTATCACTTGTTCAGTACCATATTCACCAACGGCTACTTTTTTCCTCGGCCTCACCTCAAAGCCTCCGGTAGTTCTCTTTACAATCTCGTAGGGCATATGAGTCCCAAGAAGCCTGTCCCATATCGACAAGAAAGGCTGAGAATAGTTGTATCTTGCACCTTGGGGTTGATGATGAATGTCATGATAAGCAGAATTGTTGTGGAAGAAAACATGGAAGATATTACCGGGAAACCAGAATCCACAGTGATCATCGACGGTTTTGATCACGGCGAAACAGAAGAAGAAGACGGCTGTCCGAGCAGTCATCCCGGAGACAAGGAAGGAGACGGCCCCACCGACGTTGTCAAGCAGACCCTCAAATGGATGATTATAGAGGGCACCGAATGCGAACGGAACAACCAGTCTGTGATGCTGAGAGTGGACACGGCGATACAGAAACTTGTTGTGATGCATATAGCGGTGAACGAAGTACTGCCACGTGTCCATGACGAGCATGGCGATGATGAACTGCAGAGTCTGGATTAACAGAGAAGGTTGAAGCGATGAGTTCCCAGATGCATCTTCCGACGAGGTGAAGTACTGGGGGAAGCATAATGTAATTTAATCAGTTATGTTTGGAATAAATATATATATTCTTTATGAATATTTGGCAAACAATCATGTTAATCTTCATAATAGAAATAATAATTTAACAAAAATATTACTCAGGGTAAGTGCCATTATAAACAAGCATATGCATATGTGTAAATACATACATACAGACATACATATATATATATATATGTACATACTAACCAAAAGAACGAACTGAGCAACGGTAGCCTGTATAAGTTGCTGAAGCAAAACTCCTTTAACCGCGGCGGAGATGGAGACGGAGTTTTTGTCTTCTTGCTCCCTTTTAGGGTGCAGGCGGTAGTTTTCTGGAGGCGGCAACAGCTGATAAATCCCGGCGTACACCCAGTAAGCCACGATTGGCCCAAATGTGCACATTGTCTCGTCGCTCACGTACCCTTCCCAGAGCACCATATTTGCTCTTTTATACACACACACACACACACACACACACACACACACACGTATAAACTCTGATTTTCTAGACCTAAAATGCTGGTTTTCAGGAGTGGGAGAGAGAAAGGGAGCTTCTGAAAGCATAGTTTTTATGGCGACGGTGAGAGACTTAATGAACATGTCTTTCTTTCCCATTTTCAGAAATTAAATTTTGAATGTATAATTAATGTTGTCTACAGTAAATCATAATAAAATATAAAAATACATAATGATTATATAGTCTAATTAATTACAACATCTAAATTAATTACAAGAAAACTGTAATTAATTTTTAACAACATAATAAAATTACTAACTATCTAATTTAAATTAGTTGGACGTTGACTGACGGAATTAAATTTGCATTCAACTAACCCATCTGCCACCGGTTTCCAGTCGTACTAATTTAGTAAATTGACCAGCTGGCTAAGACACGTGGCACTCTGGACGACGAGAAAACGGATAAAACCGGTAACGTCTTTGTTTTCGTTGACACGTGTCATGCTTCGGTGGGCAAGCAATTTCGTATTTATGCTCGTCCATGGCGGGGAAATGAATGATGCGCCAACCTGTTACTGAAGCTGCTAATCTCTGCACTTTCCCCTCCGAGCCACGAACCATCTCTCCCGCCGGCCACCTCTCCGTTTCCCGCTTTGACTTTTGCCGAATGCAAGCGTCTGGAACGCCATCGTCGGCAGCCTTTTTCTCAGCCCTCGGCCACGTTTTCCTGGTAAATGGTACTCGAAGCTGCGTAGTTTCCGGCCCGACAGAGTCGATTGGGTAAGGAGCTCAGCTTAGTCATGCTTAAGGGTTGCGTGCATTCCTGGATTACACTTCAGGGTTCCGCGGGTGACGCTTTGTTTGCACCTTGAGAGTGCATGGAAAGGTGTTCGACGAAATGCTCGCCGGTGAGATCAGCTTCGAGGAACGAGTGGATTGCTTAGTTGTTTCAATTGATCCAGGTAAAAACATTGATAATTCCATTTCGGGTCGGGGTTTAGCTTATTTCAGTACTATGGACATTCAAAATTTTATTTGGGATGAAACCTTTATAGTTAGGGATAACAATAGAGATATTTATTTTATATATTTTGGTATTGAAAATAATAATTTTGATATTGGCAATGATCATTCTTTTTTGAGTGAATTAGAAAATTATAGGTATGGTAATTCTAATTATATGAATAATAAATATAAAATTGATAATCTCCACTTTAATATTTAAATGTATAGTTATATTTTAAATAGTAGTAACGACAATAATGACAATTATATTTATGGTAAAAGTAGAAAGAGTAGTGAAAGCGAGACCAATTATATAAGTGGACCTATATAGATGCTAAAAGAATAGAAAAACAGTTTGCTATGCATGGAGATACCCGTAAAGCACTCCATTATATTAAGCTAATTAGTTCGACGACTATAAATAGCATGCACCCTAATGCTGTATAATACATGTTTGGTATGTGCAACACGCAGGTTTGGTGGACATGCAATTAGAATGTTAGGTTCTATATCGAGTATTTGAGAAAGGCGCCTTGGAAGTAGAGTTAATTTGCTAGGCTGAGCTAGGGTTGGGAGTGTATATTATGTGGAGATGATCGATAAATTTTTTTGATTATCACGGGTGATCAAGTTGGTTTTATAAATGTTATTATTTGATGTTTATTAAGTACCAAAATTTATATATTTTATATATTATATATAAAGATACTATAATCTGTAATAGATTATGAATCTATAGAGTTACAAGAATATCATATAGTTTTTAGGGTATATTTTTTAAAAATTTATACATTTTTTTATTTAAAGAAAATTATAAATTGATAAAGAAGTGTATGATAATAAAAAATAAAAATAATAATAAAAATTTTTAAAAATTTAATTTTATTACATTTTTACTTATTCTTTATTAATTCACAAACACACTCTTTTCAAATCTCTTCATAAACATATGAATTTAAAAAATTAAAAATTATTTAATTTTTATATATGAAATAAAAATATAATATAAAAATAAATTTCTGAATAAAAAATTTTGAATTTCAAGTTCATCCCATATAAATTATATACTTTCAATATTTTCCTAATGATATATAAAAACATAAATAGATAATTCTGGAATTGAAGATAAGACTAGAGTTATTAATTAAATCTTAAGAATATAAATTATGATGAAATTATACATATTAATAATTAAAATATGAGAATTAAAAAGTTTAAATATTCTTGTAACCAAACAAACAAACGTTAACGTAATAACTTTATAGACTTCTACTAACCCCAATTCAGCAAATGTACATACAAGTCAGAAGCGGTTCAGTGTAAAGAACACGACATGCCTGGCAAATTAATAGTTTACCATGAGATTCGACAAATATGCTACAGAAGGGACATCCGAGAATAACACAACTATAATTCACACGGTTGGTCGGATGAAATCATCATCATGACCAGCTAAATATGAATGTGGAACAATCATCATGAACTCCTAGAAGCCGGGAATGCAAATGAAGCTTTGAGCAATCAAATTCTATAATTCGACTTACCAAAAATGGCACAACCTCAACTTGGAAAAAGAAAAAATGAATAAGGCTCCTGTGTCAAGTGAGAGCTGTCGTAACACGTCTAGTCTTTCTTCAATCTTGCCTCAAAACCTCCATCAGGTCTCTTTACCAGATTGTAAGGCATGTGAGTTCCGAGAAGTCTGTCCCATATGGAGAAGAATGGCTGAGAATAGTTGTATTTTGTGCCTTGGAGTTGATGGTGGATGTCATGATAGGCAGTGTTGTTCTGGAAGAGAATATGGAAGATATTGCCAGGCAACCAGAGTCCACAATGATCGTCCACAGTTTTGATCACTGCAAAACAGAAGAAAATTACAGCTGTTCTTGCAGTCATCCCAGAAACAAGGAAAGAGAGGGCTCCACCAAAGGTGTCAAGCAGAAGACCCTCGAGTGGGTGATTGTAAAGGGCTCCAATTGCGTAAGGAACAACTAGCCTGTGATGTTGAGAGTGGACATGACGATACAAGAACTTGTTCTGATGCATATAACGATGCACAAAATACTGCCATGTATCCATGACAAACATCGCAAGAAGAATTTGCAGAGTTTGGACAGGAATAGAAGGCTGAACTGATTTCCCAGATGCATCTACCGATGACGTCAACTGTAGCAAATATAATTGAATCAATGGCTTGAAAGCAGTGAAATGAATGAAAGTATTGTTGATAGTTATGATGATATGAATACTTGGCATCATGATAAGAAGGAAAATCATTTCAATCACTTGACAGATACAACTAATAGAAGGTAGCAAATAATAGATATTTGATATGCACAATAATCATTCAATTAGCCAAAAGGATTTTCAATGATATCTCCAATCCTAAAAACTCAATTTAAGAAAAAGTGCGGAGTTTCAAAGTCTATTTCAATCAAACAGTAAAAATTTTAAGAATATCCATTTCAATTGGAAAATACGTTGTTGCATTAAAAAAATTTATCCACATTTGGATGTCTATAACAGAATATCATCATAATAGCATAACACTGAATATAACACAGGAGAGTAACTTAAATAATTATAGGAAAGAAAAGGATAGGAAAATTTGAGAGGATTTCAAACTGGAAATACTTGTCAAGAAAAAAGGTTTATGCACAAATGTACTTTCCTCACCATTTTTTTTGGGTAAATTCCTCTTCATCGCATTTAACAGAAAGCAAGGTAGCCCTTAAACCAAGATGCCTAAGGCTCAAAGACCATCAAGGATCTATTAGAAGTTTAAAAATAAAATTTCTGAGCTTTCTATAAAACTGATCAATTATGTTAGTTAACGAAGCAACAAATCAGCTTAAAATAAAAATGTACACACATTGAACAAATAGCATATTTGACATGAACAAAATCTTTTCAATCTGATTCTTCTTTGCCAGAAGCAAGAAGATTTTGTAGATTGATAATTTATCCTTAGTTTAGTTAATTACATCATGATAGCTTATAATCAAAAGGATTACCCGGAGAAAGCCTGTTCTAGCCACAAATTTTAATGCTCTTTAGTTTTAAAGAAAATAAAGTTAATCATACCCATCACATACAATTTTTGTCTCCCATACCAAGATCTTTGTCATTTAAATCCATCAAATGCCATGGCAGAAAAGAGAAGAACAGTCTTGCAAAAATAATTATGAAAGCAATCTCTACTCAGTACTAGGCACAAATGGTCATGCATTATCAGAACTCTTTATCCAAAATGAAAGTCCAGATCATTCAGTGTAGGCGCAAGCAACCACATCAATCTGAAAAATCCAAAAAAATGGATAAGTTTACATTTTCACCTAATCCGCAACTGTATGAGAAGACTCCAGAGCCTAATAACATATATCATCCTCTTTTAATTTTCATCAATCCAATGAAAGTCAGAAACTGTTGTTCTCCCGATACAAAAAGCTGCTCATTTGTGTAGAGTTCTACCAAACTGATTGTAGCTGTGTACCATTAAAAGCTTCATAATGGAAGATTAAATAAAAGTGGA